CCTTAGGGTCTTCCTATTCTGGCTTCTACTCCGTCCTCGCCTTGCCTCCCTCTTGCCTCAAACCTCTGGCCGTCAACAGCGGTCCTCGGGCCGAGCGTACCTCCAGCAAAGCCACCAACTTGGCCCCTCCCTCTCCGGGGTGCCGCTGGCCTCTTCGCTGCCCCTACCGGTGACGCCGCGGTTACCCTCACCGTTGGCTCCGCAGTACAGGGCCCCGCCAGCCCCTTCCTGGGTACTTTTGCCAGCCCTGCCCCTGGCTCCGCTGCCGGCTTCCCCACCGGCTGTGCCCCACCTCATGGAGCTGGCTCTTCCCCTCCACGTGCTCTTCCCAGCTGCGCTTCTGCACCGCTCACAGCCATCCTTGTCAGTTTCCTCCTCCGTCCCGCCCTTGGCGGGTGGCGGGCGCTTCCCCCCCCGCCCGGGCCCCCCGCAGCTCTCTCCTCTCAGCCGCCCCGTTGTCTCAGCGGGGCTGCCTTTTGTCTCTCCCGGCCAGCATGCCCCACCCCCACCGCTCAGACGCAGCCGGATAAATGCCCGGCTGACGGCCCGCGTCGGCACGTGGACTCCTTTTGGCTCCTCCGGCCCTGCGGGAGGTAAGCGGGACCCTTTGCCACCACGGGGGTCTCCCGGCATCCCCACTCCCCTGGGACAGTTTCATTCTGCATCAAAATAAAAGTGAGATCCTTTCATTTTTTTTTCATCTTTGCATTTTCCCAACCCTCCCCCAACAGTCTAATGATTAGAATAGTCACTTGGGACAGGGGACACTGTGATTCAAGTCTCAGCTCTGAAGCAGGCAGAGCAGGGAATTGAACCTCAGCCTTGTATACTCTAAATTAGTGCCCTAATTACCATGCTATTTGCTATTTTTGGAAGGGGAAAAACCCTCTTTTTCTCCCATCAGAAATGCCCATCCTGGATTTGACAAAATTATTGCCAGTGAAAAAAATTGATTTTTGAAAATTCCTTATTACTTCTGTGATATCATTACTTTGGTCTGCAATAATGAGCTTAATATGCTTAAAAGAAAACAAAAATGAAAAAAAATAAGAATCATATCAATTTTAATTTCTAAGTATACCAGGTGATGTCAGGTAAATCAAAGTTCAGCCTGAAACCAAGAAACCTCAAAAGCATATTTGGCCCATCTGGTGCTTTTACTGTTCTGACAATTTTATGCTGATATGACTTGTTTTTCAGGTCAGTCAAACTCACCATTTTTCCCCTCAGTGGTTATGAAATGTACGTTGTTGCTTCCAAGACTAAAAATCTGGACTAAGACAGATCTTTGTTCTACCTTCCTGAGATTAGCAGGATACCACAGAGAGCAAAAGTTGATGGTACTATACATCTGTGCATTCAGCATTTAGTGGCACAAAGCCACTAGTCTCTTTTCTGCATGACCAACTGACTAATTACTGTACTTGGCCTTTTCCAGTCTCTTCAATTAATGCAATGCACAATTGCACATAGCAACAGAGTCACCCATACAGAACAGAATCTAGGCCAGAATTAGGCTCTAAGTCCCATAAGCACCTGTTACAAATGCACTGTGTCCAGATGGTCTGGTCTTTGTGGAGAAGTGTCAAGGATTGACTTATCTGTCTTTCTTACTTTTGGTTTAAGGTCATAAACAGGATCTTTTTGAAGCAGCAAGCCAGATAAATTCAGGATTTTTTTAAAGTGCTATCCTAGAATTAATGCAGAAGGACCTCAATTTATCTATCTGAATCCTTATAGCCCAGTGGAGCTCATTGTTATCACTTTCTAAGCACGAAAATGGGATTAGTCTGTGATTACTAGGCAGGATTCAATATTATTAGATGGATTTATTTAAACACAGCTGTAAATCATAAAAATGTGAAATATTCAATGTTTGAAAATTCCACAGTTTATAAATTCAAAAGTAAAGCCCCAATCAACTATTTTGTTGTGGTTTTGTTGAAACACTAGAAAACTCTGCTTTTAGCTTTGTCATTGTATGGTTATTAGTTATTTCAAGATGTAAGAATGTTTATGTTGTTGATTCCTGATTTGATTTCTGAAATGGCACTACTGTACATCATTTTTATTTTCTTTTAGGGGACACAACTTTGGAGATCAGTGCACTCATAATCAGGGATCCTGTTTTATTCTGATAAAAAAAAATCCCCAATTTTCAGATATAACCCCCCCCCATCTGCATTTTTCCATGATTAAAATGAAACACCACTATAATATATAATTTCATTTTAATCATGGAAAAATGTAGATTTGGGGTACCTTTTTTAATCCAAAAGTTGGCAATTTTTTTTTTTAAATTGGAGAAAACCAGGATCCCTGCTCATAATAAATAAGATTTCCAAGGATGCCACTTCATATTCACTGAGACCATACAGCCATATTCATGGGAGAAAAAAATGGAGGAACTAATGGGATAGTGTAATCCCCTAGGCAGCAGAGAAGTCCCTATCATTTACAATTATCAGTGAAATAAGAGGGAAACCCTGTGCAGACTTCTAACAGCAAGGGTGAGCCAAACTTTTCCTGGGATGAATTTTCAACCATATCTCTCTCCACTCCCCCTATTTTATAGTTTCATAGTGAATGGTTTCCTCCAAATTCACGTTCTCTCTTTTTCCTTCATGTGATACTAGCTTTCCCTTCTTATCCTTATCTTATCCT